GAATATTCTGTACATTGAAGTACGTTCAAATCGCTCGCGGCACCTCACACTGCACGCCGCCCGCTACCTCACACACACACGCATAGCGCGTCATCACCCTCACTCAGTCAGTCTCGCTGTAACCACGCTTGTGTTGACATCAGCATTGTAGTTGCAAAATTATTACATTTCCGTGAATGTATTATATCAAGCACAGTATGAATAGAATATCACTAATATAACAGTAGTATTTTAACCAAAAACTATTACAAAAACGAGTAACATATCTTGAACATCGGAAGGCTAGGTAAAGTCTTTTGTTTTCGTGTAGTTTATCCTAATTTACATTGAAATACATTACGATTCAGCAAAACTACTATTTATTTCTGAGAATATGGAAATGTAATATTTTTGCTGAAATGACGTACGTATTACAGTGGAAAGTGACGAAAGCAATGACTTTCGCTTTCTTTCGTTCAAAAGATGTTACCGTAATTGCTTTTCGAATGGTTTTCAGTTAAAAAACTGTTGCATTACAATAATATTCTATCCTAATTCACTTGTGATGCAACAGTTTTTTAACTGAAAACCATTCGAAAAGCGATTACGGTAACATCTTTTGAATGAAAGAAAGCGAGTCATTGTTTTCGTCACAATTTTATCCCACTTTCCACTTTAATACGTACGTCATTTCAGCAAAAATATTACATTTCCGTGAATGTTGTATATCAAGCACAGTATGAATAGAATATCATTGTAATATAACAGTATTTTAACCGAAAACTATTAAAAAAACGAGTAACATCTCTTGAACATCGGAAGGTTAGGTAAAGTCTTTTGTTTTCGTCATGTATTTTATCCTATTTTACATTGAAATGCATCACGTTTCAGCAAAACTACTATTTATTTCTGAGAATATATTCATTCAGGCACAGTTAAGGTAAAATACACATGTGATGAAACAGTTTTTTAACTGAAAACGATTCGAAGAACACTTACCCTCTAGCCCTGTTCAAGGAGAAGACTGGGAGGAGCTGTTTGGTGCTGAAGACGATGACAAGGAAAATGATTATGATGGATTTTAATGAAAATATTCAGAAATATGGCATCGTAGTATTTATTCAAGTGAATTAGGATAGAATATTATTGTAATACAACAGTTTTTTAACTGAAAACCATTCGAAAAGCGATTGCGGTAAAATCTTTTGAACAATGAAAGAAAGCAAAAGTTTTCGTCATGATTTTATCCCACTTTCCACTGTAATACGTACGTCATTTCAGCAAAATTATTACATTTCCATATTTATTTCTGAGAATACAGTATATTCATTCAGTCACAGTTAAGGTAAAATTTACTTGTGATGTAATATTTTAATGAAAATACCAGGTATGAAGAAATACGGTATCGTAGTTTTCTTTTGTTTCAAATTTAATTGACGATCTTCAGGAGTGAAGTGCTTCCCCATCTGGAGTACTGTCACCCCATCTGGTCCCCGAGATATGCTAGGGACTGTCAGTTGGTTGAAAATGTTCAAAGGAGGGCCACCAAGCTGGTGCCTGCACTTCGGCATCTCAGCTACCCTGCGAGATTGGAGCGCCTGAACTTGCCTAGCTTATACTACAGACGGGCAAGGGGGGACCTAGTTGAGGTTTATAAGCATCTCAGGGGGCACTACTCAGTTGAGTGTCCTTACTTGGAGCTGGCGGACGCTCGCCCCACAAGGGGTCACAGCTCAAGATTGAAGAAGCCGCAAGTCCGGAAAACCGTGAGGGCAAACTTTTTCGGAGTGAGGGTTGTAAACTCTTGGAACAATCTACCAGAAAGTGTTGTGACGGCACCGAGTGTGAGCTCTTTCAAGAGAAGACTTGACCAACACTGGAGCGGGTTCAGGTACATTCAGGAGCCGGTGCATGCCCAGTATTTGCCAACAGTGCGTGACAGAGACGTGACCGATCGCCCGGGCGGCTAGCGAGCCGACCTTTTGGTGAAGAATATAAAGGAAAAGAGTCGTGACCGATCGCCCAAGCGGCTAACAAGCCGATCAGTGGCGAAGAGGATAAAAGTAAAAAAAGTAACAAAGATTGGTGTTTCAAATGTAATGAACAAAACTTTATGTATTTATAAATAAACTTTAAAAAATGAATACTTTATGTTTTACATCGTCCTGTGCTACCATACCATGCATTTGGCTACTTTGGGCTTGCTATGATGACGCAAGAGATCTGTCCTGGCAACTGTACCGACACTCACAGCTGGTGGTGCGTCGTTTCCATTGTTTACTGGTAGTTACTGGTAAATATTTTTCAACCTAACAAAACTATTACCCGTTTCGAGGTCGACCCCCAATTTTTTGCCAAATAATTTTGTCTTAAAAACTCGAACTACACTCAGGTATATTCGGTAAATAAGGACATGGGGGGCCAGGGTTTTTGGGGGCAGCAATAGTACACGGATTTTTAACATTCACAGATATCTCTGTTACCTAACCCCCGCATATGTTAAGGGCCGACTGTACTGTATAATACTTGTAATAATCATTTTTAGTTATTACAAAAAAAAAACAATACCTGTCTACCAGTATTGATATGCATTGGTTATTAACTCAAGATGTATACCCGAGGAGCTTCATGACTTTGTATTCTAATCAATTATCAACATCAAAAACATTTTCTTCTACAATATTAGTTAAATCCCTGGTTACCATTCCTTCTACTGTATAGTTACCATATGTAGTGTCCTTTCTGCCAGTGAGCATGACTGTGCACCAAATACTGTCCTGTATGCTCAGTCACTTGCTGCTCTCCCTTTCATTGTCACCTTTTCTGCCAGACTAACAACATCAGAGGCCTTCTGTGTCTCTGAGGTGTGTTGTGTATTGCAGCCACTCAGAAAATATATTATTTTTCATAATTCTGTACAAATACTGTTTTATTTTAGCTATTTTATATAATTCCACGACGACTTGTGTCCATTTCTTCCAGGTGCTTTTACCCTTAATCCTTCTCACCCTAGGATGGGAAAGGAGTAGCTAATGATAATAGATGGATCAGTAATAGATTTAAATGATTGATTCTCTCTTAGCATCTTTGTCTACACACACACACACATATTTACAATACAGGTAGGTAAAGGAAATTATACTGTCTCTAGAATGAATGGCTCCCTGTCCCAGCCGCGAAAATGCCAGCAACCTTAAAACTACCCACAGACATTCTTGGGTATGTCCAGGGTGTCATCCGCGAATAACCGAGAACCACGAAGTAAAAATCCACGAACTTGCGGGGCTGTACTGTATTGGGAAAAAATGAACAAAAGGCTCAGATACCCATTTTGAAGTTTCTTGACAATTATTGTATTGTCTCATTTTTTTAAGATGATTTTAATGGGGTAAATTGGGTTAATTTATACTGTATGCTGTTGCTTATCTTTTTTAATTGTGTAATTTACAAACAAATTATCCAGGTAAAAACACCCACAATCAGCCTTATCTGATTAATTATATCAATGATTTGGCTCTTTTTTTTCCCAGCTACTGTATTGTCTGCTGAATTGTGTAATACTGTATAGATGAGAAGTTCTCTCGCTGGGGAGATGTGGACATACAGGGCTCATACCACCAACCTAACCAATGAGTGGTGTACTATTCCTCCTACTGGCACTCTGTAAATCACTAGGATTGGACTGTATTTGGCTAATGATGGTTTGGTTAAATATACTACTGTAGTCAGTTGAAACACACACTCAGATTTTATACCCTGGCATTGGTCCTAGGAGTTGTGCTTACAGAATTTACTCATCAAGCCAATAGATTGTGACATTGACTAACTCGTGACAGTGAGGTTGGCACTGATTAGGTATTTGGTATAATTCTTTCATTTACAGATTTACAAGTGGAAATAAAAATTTTACTGTTAGATTGTTCCCAGTCCTTAACACTGGGTTTGGGCTTGACTGCTTCTCTGCAATTATATTTATTATAGGTTAGGATGAGGGTGTTTATGTCATGTTTCCTTTCATTTCGCACAAAGATTATATGAGGCTTCACTACTTCCTGTGTTAGGGCAAGGTTAGGATGCCTCCCATCCTACACTTTGGATTTCACCATTTTCAGTGGGCTTTCTCATTATCATAGCAAGAGAAGTAAGGTTCATTTGGTAATTTGCAAGCAAAGGATTGTTTGGTTTACAGTCCCTCTGTCTTTGATGAGTGAGTGGACTTCTATTTTCTTTGAGATTCTGAGTGTGGGAGAGATAGTTTGCAGTAGCGCTGGTTAACTCTGTGTTTATAGTGAACTGGTGGGAGTTCTAGTCTTGATTTGGCTTGTTCATTCTTTACTCATTGTCTGTGATGTGACCAGTACTCTGATGTACTGTTTGGAGTTGGGAAGTTGTAAGGTCATGCAGTTAACTTGCCTTTGGTGTCAAACATCGCATTAGGTATTGGTTGCTAGTTGGCTTCGTTTATATGAGCCATCTAGTGAAGGAAGACTGACCATATATGAACGATCGATCCAGAAATCCCATTTTATGGTCAAGCCCTGAACAAGGCAGCTTAGTACAGTGCCCACCTAGTGGCCATGATAAGGTTGAAAGGTTGCTGGGCATGAAGAGGTTAATACATGAAAACCATTTTGTCCAACTTGAGAAGGTTATGATGTGCAGTCGCTGATTTAGTGTCATTTGTTTGTTGGACTTCCTTTTTGTTTACTATTTTGTTCTGTTCTCTTTCTCAGGACACTGGTTGTAGTACAAGAAAGCAGATTAATCATAAGTCTCCGGGCACTCTTTCTTTCATCCGGCCTAATGGGTGCATCACACAGCCCTAGTTCCATGAATCTTAAATTTTTACAAGTTATTATTATGTTATTTTTTAACTTGGCTCTGGTTCAGCAGGTGTGATGACGGAGAGGGAGGTGTTAGTCACTGTGCTGTTCTTTGCTGGAGCTCGTGACCTTGCGGGTGTGGACCGCTCAGCCGTAACACTGACTGCAATTACCACACCTGAACAGTTATTGGCTCAAGTCGTTCGTTCATTTGGAGAGATTGCCAAGATCAGGGAGAGTGTTATAATTTCTCTCAATCAGGAGTACTGTGAGCCTGGCCAGTGGCTGGTACTCTCCACTGGAGACGAGGTTGCCATCATCCCACCCATCAGCGGAGGTATGTCACTAATTTTTCGAACAGTTATTAATAATATACAGTATGCAGATATTTTTTCCCCAATTACATTTCAGTACTTTTATGTTTCACACCCATTTTGCAGTGAGTTGTCTTTCCAGTAATTATTTTATAACATTTCTTCCTGCAGGTTAGGTATTATGGACTACATTAAGCTCACCCAGGATGTCCTGTCTGTGGAGGAGATCACTGGCCTCATCACTAATCCCTCCTGTGGGGCCATCAGCCTCTTTGTTGGAACTACACGTAACAACTTCCAGGTAATGTTACAACACTGACTGCGAAGGTTTTCATATTGGATGGACTTTTCATCTGTAATAGGGAGAAAGATTTGATTGAAACTCTTTGGTATACTGTATACATTAGGGTCGGGATATATCGCGAGATAGGGTCTAAGGATGTTCGCTATATATACTAAATTGCGATATATAATTTCTCGTAATCAATGGGGAAAATAGGGTTAGGTTCTGGAGGCCAATAAAGGTGACTAAACTTGACATAAAGTGGTACAGTCTAAAGTTATAAGAATATAAATGGCATTGCTGGAATCCTTGCAAGACAGAGAATAATTTGAATATAGACATCATATATTTTGCACAAGAGAAAAAAATTCAACTCTCATTTTTGGGGCTATTTAGGGGATTTTTATGAGTGTTTCTGACTTTATACGGTTTTTGGCTTTATGTGAGGTCCCAGGAACATAACCCCACGTAAGTTGTGAGTTTACTGTAAATAAATTTATCACTATATATTGGAAATTTCGATAATTTTGGTAGTACAGTCATGCGCCGGTTAACGTCCTAGATACGTTCTTGGAAATGTGACGTTAACCGAAATGGACGTTGTCCGATCATCACATAAACTTTGTATTTATACTTCAGTGTATGTGGAATACTATATACGTACAGACACTTTTACTCTTAAATCACTACTAATGTGATACAGGTGATTAATTTTTTTCTCTTGTGCAAAATACATGACGTTTATATTAAAATTATTCACTGTTTTACAGGGATTCCAGCAACGCCGGGCAGATGGGAGAAAGGGAGGGAGCGAGCGTGGGGGGAGGGGAGCTGTTTGACAGTTGGCACAGGCCCAAATCTGACGCGTGTATATTTATCAGTTCTTAAGTGACTAAGCTTCTCTCTTATAAAAAGCCAGTGAAATGACCAGGGTGAATATAATTAACATTGCTGGGATTCTTGTAACATTCTGATTAATTTGAATATAAACATGCTGTAATTTGCACGAGAGAAAACAATTCTAGTACTGTAATCAAATTAGTACATGTGCACTCCAGCTTTGCACTAAGGTCATTTATTTCTGTTACATTTCTTTTAGTATGGTGTGTGCATGTAAAAGGGTGAAAATAAATGAAGAAATTTATGTAAATCTACCCAAAAATACAGTTGAAAAACTTTTTATAAAATGTACTACAGTACTGTACACTAATGTACAACAATTTTTATCTCTTGAGCAAAATATATGATGTTTATATTCAAATTATTGGCTGTCTTGCAAGGATTCCAGCAATGCAAATTATAATCTCCTAACTTTAGTCTGAGATATTATATAAGATAAAAACTGTAAGCCTAAAACCCTGGCTGGGGGAGAGGGACGGAGCCAGCCAGTCAGCGAGGGGTGGGAGGGGGGGGGTTGAGGTCATATGTTTGACAGCTTGAGCCGAAGGTTTCTGTGTGTTTATTTAACAGTCCTACTAAGCTTCTCTCATTTTAGAATGCCACTAGACATAACAATTTTAGTACCGTAATGAAATTAGTACATGCGCACTCCAGCTTTGCACTAGGGTCATTTATTTCTTTTACGTTTCTTTAGTATGGTGTGTGCATGTAGATGGATGAAAATAAATGAAGAAATTTATGTAAATCTACCCAAAAATACAGTTGAAAAACTTTTTATAAAATATACTACAATATTGTACACTAATGTACTACATTTTTTATATCTTGAGCAAATATATGACGCTTATATTTAAATTAATCTCTGTCTTGCAAGGATTTCAGCAATGCAAATTATATTTTCCTAACTTTAGTCTGAGATATTATATAAAATAAACATAAAGAAATCACCAATCTTTTGTCTGGGAACACAAGGAGGGAGGTAGCCAGCGAGGGGGGGAGGTGAGGTGACAGAGTGTCTGGTGTTTGTTTATTTATTTGAGATATGATTTGACAGTTGGTGCTGAAGGCCTGCGTGTTTGTTTATCATTACTTAAGAGTGGCTAAGCTCTTCTCATAATTTGCCACCCAAACAACCTGGGTGATTATAACTTACATTGCTGGAATTCTTGTAAGATAGTGATTTATTTGAATACCTGTATAAACAATCTATATTTGCAATAGACATAACAATTTTAGTACCGTAATCATTTAGTACATGTACAATATAGGTTTGCACTTAGGTCCATTGTTAACCGAATGACCACTGTAAACTTTTTATTTCGTAAGTAAGGAAATCAAATTAAAAGTAATGTACTGTACACTACAATAGACAAAACATAGGCATTTCTTATATCTATCAAAACATATTATGGATATATAGTTACTGTACTGTATCATTATGCGCCTGGCAACACAATCTATAAGAATACGCGATGCATACGTGACGCAAACGTGACTGTGCCCGCTCTAGGGCTATTTAGGTTCGCTACGTCCCATTATTTGAATGTTTTTTTTCAATTTCAATTGCTTATTCCTTGATAGAGGAAGCGGGATCTGGTACCCCTGTGCCACAACACCAGAAGCAACTGGGCAGTGTCACAAGTAAATACAGCACAGTACAGTCATCCCTTGGTTATCGCGCCTAATTGGGACCCCGCCGAGTGCGTGATAACGAAAAACGCGATAACGAAAGTACAGAACCTATGGGATTTATTCTAATTGGTTCCAAGCACCCAAGACCCAACCCCAAGTTTCCCATTTTATGACCATTTAGACCCACTAAATATATATATAATGTTATGGTAAATATCATAAACACACATAGGCATGGCTAGGTTTATTACAAAGTGATGAAAAGGGTATGCTTAATACTGTAGTCCACAAAACATGTAGCTATGCTTTTTTTATTTGGTCCCCCATCATACGAGTTTGTTTTCTCTCACATCAGGATGCCTGAGTCCTCCGTTTTCTCTCTTAATCTTAGAGTGCACCAGAAACTTCGTTATTCCTTAGTAATGACACAGAATTTGAAATTGCAACTGGAGTTGCAATTATTGAGGCAACTAGATATGTCTGATTACAGCAAATGTGTTAGTGTCAATTTGTAGGTGAAAGATTTTATCCTCAATAGATGTTGGTTAACATTACACCTGGAGGCAAATGCTTAAAAAAAGCCGAAGGAAGGAAGCATATTTCTTTAACACATAATATCTGACCAGTATGGGGAGGATCATCGTGTCTCTGTCAGGGGGTCGTGGAGTGGAGGTCCAGCAGGCGTCATGGAAGTTTTTTTTTGGGGGGGGGGGGCCACGGACGTATATGCGATCGGGCGTTGTTCGGTCGGACGTTAACCGGCGCATGACTGCAGTGATAAATTTGAAATATTTCCTACCCAATTTCCCTCACGAATTTTGGGAGCCACGATATAAAAAAAATCGTTATATAAAGTCGCTATATATCCCGACCCTACTGTATGCCAGTACGGGTATAAATAATTGTATGGCGACCTGTGTTGTAATGGTCAGCAAGTGGGTGGACCCAGGTTCAATCCCCGGGCAGGGTGAAACTATGGACAAGTTTTATTTATTCCATTTGCCTCAGTCTACCCAGCAGTAATTGGGAACCTGGATGTTAGTATATTTGCGGATCGTGTTCCGGGGTAATGATTAGCCAGTTGTCCGGCCTTTTTGGATTATTCCTTGACACTGGGTCAAGCAGCTCTTTAACTTAAGGTGTGGTTGTTGTGTTAGCAACACCTTAAACAAAGTCATGCCTAGGTGGCCCTAATGTCTGCCATCCTCGTACACGAGGGGCAACCATTATTATATTAAACAGTTGTAATTTCATATGTATGATAACATAATCTGGAATCTTATGAATAAAATATTAAAAAATCAGAATGACAAGAGTACTGTACAGTATTGTGCTCTCAGTCTTCTTAAAATCTGCCTTTCATTATACTGTACAGTACAGGGCGCCCCCCCCAAATTCGCAGGGGTCAGGTTCTCAAAATGGCCGTTAATCACCAAATCCGTGAATAACATTGGCTGACGGGGGGTGGGGGGGTTACATTTTTACTTGTGTACATAGAAATGTATACACCCACCTCCCGTTTTAAACGGGGGTTATGTTCTTGAAAACCACCGCTTAATTAAAAAATGCATAAATTAAACATAATTTTTCCATAAGAATACCTGTACAGTACATGTAAATGGTACAGGTTAGGGGAACCATCATATTCCGTACAGGTTATGAACAGTGCTTTCACTTAAACCAATCACGCGGCCAACCTCCGACACACGCTCTCCTTTCTGATGGCGGGTGATCACATTTAATTTCAAGTCCATTGCGATTGTTTTTCGTGCCTTTTTAGCTTTAGGCATCCCAGAGGAGGCAGATGTACGTTTTCCAGACATGCTCAATGGGGAAAACATTGTTTAACACTAAAAAGGTACGTGATAAACACACAATGCAAATGAGAGCACAGAGAAAAAGTAGTGCTGGTGTGAACTGAGAAAGCGATACACGGGAAGCTTGCTGGACGTCGTCACAGTTGTTGTACAGAATACTTCATTCTCATCATTAGTAGTAATAATCTTTATTATTACATTATTATAATGATTATTATTATTATTAATAATATCAAAATTGTTGATGTTAATATGATTGCGACTTAATAGTAATAACTTAAAAGCACCTCACCAGGCATCACACGCGACTCCACTGCCAGGCGAATACGCACGGCAAATTTAAACTTTCTTGAGCACGTTATTTAAAAAATAGGTGCGTGTAAATTAACTTTTGGTATTAATTGAACAATCGCGTTATTCCAAAAACGCTTAAATCAAACGTGCGTAAAACGCGAGTTACCTCTATTCCCTTTGTGCGTTTGCCCTTAGGACAATTATTTCTTTTACCAGTATTGTATATATATATGTGTGTGTGTCTACACACACACACACACATTTACAATACAGGTATAGGAAATTACTGTCTCTAGAAGGAATGGCTCCCTGTCCCAGCCTTGAAAATGCCTGCAACTTTAAAATTACCCACAGACATTCTTGGGTACATCCAGAGAGTCATCCGTGAATAACCGAGAACCACAAAATAAAAATCTGCAAATTTGGGGGCCCCCCTGTACTCTATGGTCACTGTACTCTGCATTTTTGCATTTCTTTATTGTGATTCAGTTTTTGGTCAAGTTTCCTTTGATTAAGTTTTACCTAAACATTGGGTATAGCAAATTTATCTTGATTAACCTCTGTGGTCTGTTTGCAAAGCAGGGCATCTGTATGCTATGAATTTTTTTCCAGGGGAAGAATGTTGTAAGACTTGAGTATGAGGCATACCATGAAATGGCAGAAAAGGAGATGGGTAAACTCATTAAAGAAGCCAGAAACAAGTGGTCTTTGAAGCACATAGCACTCTATCATAGGTGAGTTATTCAGCCCACCCTGTTTGTGATTTACCTGTCTATAGCCTATTGAATTGTGGTACAAAACACAATGTACTTGATCTATGCAGGTTTGTGTCTTCTGTAATACAGGTTGACAACCCTTTATCCGAAATTCCGAAAACCTAAAGTTTTTTTGTGGAGCATTTTTTTTTTTTTTTTTAACATGGATTAGCCCACCCAGGCATAGATCACTGACCCACATCGGGGCCTGGTGGGCGAAAATGTAATAGTAATACTAATTATAATAATAATAATTATTCATAGTAAATAAAAATTTTAATACAAAGTACACCAAAATAAAATAATAATAATAACAATAATAATAAGAAAATATAATAATAAAATTAATAATACAGTAAAAGTCCAAAAATCCGGATGCCAGAAATTCGGACCACCCGAGAATCTGGACTTTTCGAACTCAATTTTTTATTTTTTTTTTTTAGCTGGCTTTTGTGTGTATGTGCGCATGCGTGAGTGCCACAGCTGCACAGCAACAACAAGCGACCACGTGGTTGCCACTTTAAAATGAGCAATCAAACTGTGACAACGTATGTAATTTTGACTCCTACTTTTTCCATTTACAGAGTACTGTACAAGCCCATAATAATGGCTCCTAAAGTAGATAAACTTTGTTGTGTGAAGAGAAAGAAGAACACGTTGAAACTGAGTGACAAACTTGAAATAATTAAGAAATTAGAACGTGGTGTGAGCAGTACTGTTCTAATGGAAACATACGACATTGGAAAGTCTACAATTTATGATATAAAAAAGGCAAAGAATAAAATTTTAGAATTCACGGCTTTTTCTTTAAAACTGCTCGTTTTGATAAATGAAGCATGCTATATTTACTAATGAATAAACTATCAAAATGTACCTGTTCATCTCTTCTTTATTCCTCCTTAAATTTGAATTTTAAAAGTACTGCCTGAGAATCCGGAAAATCCGAAAATCCGGACCGACCTAATCCCCAAGCAGTTCGGATTTTTGGACTTCTACTGTAATAATAATAATAACAATAATACGTATTAATAAAATAATAATAATAAAGAAATACAAGAATGAAAAAAGATAAAAAGTGAGAAACAAGACCTAGACCTATGAATTATTATTATTATTATTATTATTATTATTATTATTATTATTATTATTATTATTATTATTATTATTATTATTATTATTATTATTATTATATTTTCGCCTCCCAGGCCCCAATGTGGGTCAGTGACTTGTGCCCAGGTGGGCTAATACACATTAAAAAAAAAAACTAACCATTCTGAAAGCTGAAAAATTCCGAAATCCGAAATGCCTCTGGCCCCAAGGATTTCGGATAAGGGATTGTCAACCTGTACTATGCACTGGTAAATATCCAAAATTACTGTGTACAGTGCTGTAATACAGTACTGTACCTCAATTCAGTAAATTATATAAAATAGATGCATTCCTAAAGATTTTGCTTGCACTATAGGGGACAAGGGGTGAGTTAATAGAAGTCTATAAACACCTCAGAGAACAGGAACTCAGGCCTCCCCCCATCTTGCACTCACTCTCCAACCCCTTTTCTTGTCCACCAGTACTGTACCCTGGCCCTCCCTCACTGTATTTGTATTTTTCTGGAAGGTTTTAGTAACATACCAAATCTAAATGATATAGCAAGACTCTATATGACAACTGTTGCTTGGATTAAAATATTAAATGAACACTGGAAATATAAAATATGATAAATTTATGTTTTAACTTATTTCAGATTGGGCCTGGTACCCGTGACCGAGTCCAGTGTTATTGTGGCTGTAAGTTCAGAACATCGCCGAGAGTCTTTGGATGCTGTGTCTTTTCTTATAGATAACCTCAAAGCCAATGTGCCCATATGGAAAAAAGAAGTGTATAGCGATGGGAGTGATGACTGGAAGAAGAACAAAGAGTGCGTCTGGGTGAAGGAAGAAGACGGCCAAGACACTGTGGACAAAATCATCAATAACAATAAAAGCACGTAATGTTTGTTTTTGTCTTTTCTCAAGTTTTGCTATGTTGTACTTCAAATGACTTATCTATTACGTAGAGGTAATCTTATAGTACTTTAAATTTTGGTGATGTAAGTGATTTGCATTCATGATATTGATTTTTGAACTCTACATAATAGATAAATTTATTTAGATCATCCCATTGATACATTGTAGAGTCTAGATATAAACAAAGATCCTATAAAGTAGGGTGGTGAGCCCTCTGGTGGCTGACGGACATATCATCCTTTTCACACTGACAGGTACACATCACTTGCCTTTCATTGTTAGTTGACAATTGATGAAAATGAAGCCCAGCCTGTTTGAATTCCCAACCAGTCAGTTACGACGAAGCATTTGACTGGTGGTTCCGTGACTGGGTGTCATAGTTTGTACATTGCCTCATATGTGGCTACCTGGTCAGTGAGGTATGCTGTAAATAGGCAAATTCATCATCTTACTTTTATAGGATCTTTAATATAAGTTTGGGGTTTTCTTGGGCCTTTTATTATGCATTGTGATTTGGTTAATTCAAAGTCAGTTTTACAGAATTTATAGAGTTGCCAACTAGATTGAAACAAAGGTTGTCTTACAAAGGATTAGGTTGTCCTGATATTAGTAAATAGAAATGCAACGGACAAATGTTTACAAAACCCGAGTCAGACAATACTGTAGTACTGGATGTGATCCATGTCTAGTAAAGGAATTTATTTACAATAATTGACTTATACAAATATGATTAGAAACAGCCAAATTAAGTGAAATTTACTATATATTTATTTATGGACAAAGGTGTTTCAGTAATCAAAGTAGTCAAGTGGCAATAGAGTAATAATGGGTTAGACCTGCAATATTTGCCAATGAAAATTTGGGTAATGCACAATATTGAGAAATTGCACAAATAATCTTTGTCTTTTACTCTGGATCTTTAACATTTAAGATGTAATGGTTCCAGAATTACATACAAACTTCACCTAAACTCCAGACAGTGAAGCCAGGTCAAAACATGTGTTAAACTATAAAAATTATTGTCCACCATGAAAGTAACATATCTCAATTTCTGAGGATAGCAGTACAGTAGTCTATACCACTGTGTAAAATTATTTATTTTTTGCGTTTATTTCAACTGTCAAAATTTCAACCGAAATATCTATTTTGATTTGTCCGATAGACTATTTTCTCCATCACAGATAACAATTATTCTTGGCTTGTGTGTTACAATAATCCCATAAACTAGAAACTGTCTAAGTGGTTTATTGAGTAGTATACAGTAATACAGACAAAGATTGTGAGCACCAATTATCATACATACTTGTAAAAGCAATAGTCTCAGTTCTACTACTTACTGTACAGTACATGTACACTTCCTTGAGGTGAATATTGGCACCACTTCTCAGTCACCTGAGTAGGAGCCAGACCCAGTGCTACTTACCTTCACTAATGAGGGACCTACACTACAGTGTTTGAGTATTTCCTCATAACTGAATGATCCAAGTTGGATTCACACTTGGAGTTGAGGACTGGACCAGTGCTTCAGTGGACCAGCACCCTGCCGAGTGCATGGGGTATACTGAACCATTAATTAGTGTATTATTAGAATCAGGATTGACACTTGTACAGGCATGATGTATCATAGCAGGAAACGACTTGCAAGGCTTTTGATAATGAATATATACCGGGTACCTGTGTGTATTTGTTTCATGCTAAATAGGGATAATTGCAAAATACCATAATGATAATTTTTATAAACAGTATTTTTTATAGTACCTGAAATTTAAACCAGTCTATATATCAGGGACAGTCATGTAGATAATCATAATACAAACTATAAATAAATAGTAACTTTGTAAACCTAACTTATTTAACCAAACCCAAATCAATATAGTTGTACAGTAAGAACCCCTCGTAAGTCAGACTTATAGTCCATTTTATATGCCCCCTCCCCACCCCCCCTCTGGGTAATTTCGACCACCATTTTGCTGCAAAATCACATCCAAAAACAAAATTAAAGTTAACAATGCTAATTTAGTGTACCTACATTGTAGCAGATGATTTTTTAGATTATTGTAGCAAACAAATCTTGATGAAGTTTCACTTATACTATTTAGTTTCACTTATTTATCTGTACACTTACACTTAAAAGTAGCATTCATTTCTTGGTTTAATCACTGTCGGAATTGAGGATGTCGCAGATCAGGGGATACCATCAATTCTGACTGTGAGGTGCAGGGTGATTGATGGCAGACCCACAGACCCTTGTCCGACTAATGGGGGTTTCCGGGTAGGGGGGGGGGGGGTCTTATTGTATTTAGTTATGTGATCGTATATGAAGCAGAGCAAATACGACCTTATACAGTAAGGGCTAATTTCCACTTATTGCACTTAAAAAAAATAATTATTTGTAAAACTGTCAGGCTGAATAAGATGATTATCCCTATTTAGCATGATACACTCATATAGAATGAAAGAGTTAGCATGCATGTTCACAAGCACACATGTTTGAGGAACATCTGGAGCTGTCAACAATCAGGTTATCTCCCACACACATACTGTACATACTTTTAGTTAACATATAACTTACTTATAAAATCTGTCACAAATCTTGATTACCTTTAGTTTTTAAAAATTTACACTTTATACATAAATGATTGATAATTATCTTGTACTGTGCTATACAGTGAAAGGTCTCACAAATTTACAGTACAGTAATATCTCCGTTAGCCGGAATCCCTCGAACCCGGAACTCTCGGATAGCCGGAATTAATTTTCTCGGAAAATCGTTCCCAAAGCCGGAATTTTCCAGAAAATTCCGGCTTTGGGAACAATTTTCCGAGAAAATTTTCCCGATCCCCGAAAAATTCTAGAGATGGGGGTGTTTTTTCTGGGTTTGAGAGATGAAAATCATGCGCATTTTCTGGAAATTCCAAGACAAATTTTCCGTTACCCGGAAACTTCTGGGGATGAGGGATATTTTTCCGGGTTCGAGAGATGATGTAATGGGCAATTTCTGGAACTTCCGAGAACATTTTTCCGTTACCTGGAAAATTCCGGGGATGAGGGATTTTTTTCCGGCTTTGAGAGGGTCATCTCGTTACCCAGAAATCTCTCATTCCGGAAGTGGTCTGCACCAATTGTTCCGGCTAACGGAGATATCACTGTACTACTTAGAATTTTTAGGACTACAGTCAGTTCTGCTATAACGCCATAGTTGTGTTCTTGTAAAACATCGTGTTATAGAAATTCGCGTAATAGAAATAATAGGGCTTATGGAGAAAATAGGGTTAGGTGCAGATTACCACTCGAAATCGAAAAAAATTTAGTAGTTAGCCTAACACAAAGGATAGCACAGTCTAAATAAATGTTACATTCATATCTAATAATGAAATCATACAGTAAATGTAACACTTTACCTTGAAAAAATATGAATATAACTTGATGGGGGAGAATGGTGATTTTGAGGTTGATAACATCGCGCTTCTCTTCAAGGGTTATAGCCTTTCTTTTACGATCATCACTGGGAATGCGATCACCAGAACGCTTCTTGGAGATATTCTTCTTTACCATATTCACAGTTAATACCACAAAATTGGAGAAATAGTAAGCAAAAATCGTGTTACAGCAAACAAGCGTTCGCGTTATACAAATATCGTTCCTCTATTCATAAATCGCGTTAGAGCCAATTCGCGTTGTCAAAACACGCGTTATAGCAGAACTCACTGTAATATACTTTTGATAATGTTTCAGTGATGGGTATATACCAGGAACTTATCCCTTTCTAAAATATATAAAGAAATGATGGAGGTAAAGTTGCCATTTTAAGGGAGGTAAAACTGACTCTTCATTGAGATAAAACAAACAAAGGAATCTCAGTCATATGGGTGAATGGTCAGATAAGTCCTAAGAGATACCAACCTGACCTAACCATTAGCATTGGAGTCATTTCTAATGGGTAGGTTAGATTGGGACCCACTAGACCTGCAGCCATCTTGAGTACTGTCACCATTTTTATTCAATCATGATTAAGCATTTATCTACTTTTTTTTCAATGAATCAAATTTTATTTACACATTGTCTTAATTATTGTTAATTAATGAATTAAAGATTGACTTAGAAAATGACTTCTCTCTGGCGACATTGAAAAGATTGAAGAACATGGTAGTTTTGTTTGTATAAACTAAATAATTTATTAGCTTTAATATCTAAAGTAAAGGAATAACAAGTGTGACCAAAAATTAGTCATAATAAGTAAATATGCTGCAATGTGCGTATCGGAGACAGTTCCTGGCTCACCGACAAAAGTCTCTGAAATTTATAATGGACACTGGTTGCTGGTGGGCTGGACGACTAACTAACGTTAAAAAACTCAAAAATAATTTATATTAACAAGCATTATAGCTACTCAGGAACATTTAGTTTCTATATACAGAATATATATATAGTTTGAATGGTCTTGAATATGCTGCCAAATATAATAATGTACTAAAAGTGCAGCAATATTCTTGTACCTTTAAAAAGTTTCTATTCTTTTGTCTTCAAATGGAATGTGGTAATCTGTGATACTTCAATGTCCAGTGTTTTGATACTAGTGATAACAGTCATTATCAGTTTTGCTGTAATGGACTTTTTATGCTATGTGATATTAGCTGTATTTGATAGTGTCTCAAGTAGAATTTCTCGTGACACTAGCCTGGTAGCTGGGGATGATTCCTCTTTGGTTGAAATTTAGTGATTGTGATGCTAGAGAGATGTTGAAACAAGGTGATGGGAAATTAATAAACATCCAAATAGGAGGATGTCAGATAATATGGAAAACAGAAAGTATCAGATAAGAGGTATAAGACAATAATTATATCCTTGTATGAGGGGAGAGGTAGTAAGAAACAGTGCAAAGCCCATAGCTATAGGGATTACAGTACAGTAGTTTGGTAGGGTTAGGCTTGAGAGGGTGTAGAAATAACAAAACACAGGATAAGAGCGGAATAGTTT